GCGCTGCATGAGGCTGTGATCACCTTCCTCATTGGAAAGGGCAAGTTCCCTGGGCTGGCAGCTGTGGGGGATGCTTTTCTTCTCTCTGAAGGCAAAGGGAATCAGGCTCCATGTCTGGAGGTAGGGAACCCAACAGGAGAGGAAGGAGGAGCTCTTGGAAGAGACGTGTGTACACCCCTGGAGGTAGGAGCGTGTGCAAGTGCGGAAACCACTCTCCACTGTGACTTGGAAATTCAGACGCATTCATCCAGTGAGGATCATCATCAGGTGATTCTGAGCAAGACGTGAGGCCGCCTTCTCTCCCCTCCAGCCCCCTGCAGCTTTTGGAGAGTGTTGAAAGGGTCCTGAATTTTTATGCTTCACAGGAAAGAACCATGGAGACTAACGGGGGAGCGGGGACAAGATACACAGTCCAGCAAATGTAACCCTCATCTCTGAAAATAAGATGGGAGTGTATACCTAGACTGGGGTAATCGGTAATCTGTCTTCACATCTGAGACAGTCATTCATGATGCACGTGACCAAGGTGATGGTCCCCACAGGGAGCCACATATCGTGTACACAGAAACCACCACGTACCATCGACAAGAAAGGACCAGAGCTACGTCAGGAATTCATTCCTTCCCCAGGATTTGGCTAGCCACCCCTGCCCCTGTTCCCCTTTCTTCCAAATGAGACCTTGATGGAAGGTGAGGCTGCTCCTCAAGGTGAACCATCCCTCCCCGTCTCCAGGCTGCGCAGGAAACAGCAGCCCCAATACTGGAGGCTAGGGTTACATTGCTGCACTTAGTCAGTCAGTCCGAAGAACTCTTTGTGACCTCATTGACCGTCACCCTCCAGGCTCCTCTGTCCATGGGGATTTTCCAGGCAAGAATACTGGGGTGGGGTTGCCATGGCTTCCTCCAGGGGATTTTCCCAACCCAGGGATCGAATCCAGGTTTCCCCCATTGTGGGCAGCTTCTTTACCATCTGAGCCACCAGGAAAGCCTGAAAATCAAACTGAACTCAGAAATCAAACTGAATAGAAGTCTGTGGATTCTACTTAGTTATAACTCTAGGATTGGGAAAGTTCTCGCAATGTTGCACAGATGAAATTTGTGATTGGAAAAAGCAATAAATGTATAATCATAAGATTATTATGACCAGTTCCCAACTATTCTGAGTACTTACAATATATGGACACTGATCTCGAATCTAAGTGTAAAAAGATAAATTCCCTAGGCTTTTATCTCCTGAAGTGGCTAATCTATGCCGGCAGATAGTCAATTACAATACAGCTTGATTAGTGTCATGGGCTTCCTAGGTGGCTCAGTGGTAAGGAATCTGCCAGACAGTGCAGAAGATGCAGGCTTGATCCCTGGGTTGGGAAGATCCCCTGGAAAGGGAAATGACAATCCACTCCAGTATTCTTGCCTGGGAAATCCCGTGGAGAAAGGAGCCTGGTGGGCTACAGTTCATGGGGTCACAAAGAGTCAGTCATGACTCAGTGACTGAACACCAACAATGTGTCATGATGTGCCAGGCATTGTTACTATGGGTAGACATTCCCCAGACAAACAGGGATGATTATTGGAAAGGCTTCCTTCTAGAGGGATGCTTGGTCTGAGGTTTGAGAATAGACTGGCTGTTATAACACTTTTTAGAGAGCATGAAAGAGTGGGGAGGGAGCCAAATAGAAAAGGCAGAGTGATGATAGCACATGACTTCTCAGAAAACTGAGAAATCCATTCATTAAATCCAGAGCAGAGTGTGTAAGAAAGAGGGTTGGGAGCCGAGAAGGATGAGGAGATCATGGTCAGAGAGAAGTGGAGTCCCCTGAAATGTTAGAACAACTGAAAGACTCTTCAGGGCAGACAACAACCGAGAATGAGCAGAAAGGATGTGTGTCTCAGTTGCTCAGTCGTGTCCAACTCTTTGCTACCCCGTGGATTGTAGCCCACCAGGCTCCTCCGTCCATGGAATTCTCCAGGCAAGAATACTGGAGTGGGTAGCCATTCCCTACTCCAGGGGATCTTCCAGACCCAGAGATCAAACCCGGGTCTCTGGCATTGCAGGCAGATTCTTTTCTGTCTAAGCCACCAGGGAAGCCCAGAAAAGGATAATCATGACTAAATAATAAAGGCATGCCAGATTCACTCTGGGCCTCAGGGATTCATGGCTTAAATAATGAAAAGACCTCCAGGTGAAAACCCCTATAAGGATTAGAAAAATAGAGTACATATGAAAATGTTGGACCAGCAGCCATTGTTCAAATGTATTCAATTCTCAACGTGATAAGTGCTAAGTCTGAATTAATTAATTAATTTCCCAGAACCATTTGCTACTAGAAGCAAGTGTCTGATGATACCGAAGTATGACCTAGTGATGCCTGTAAGAAAGGTTAAACCAAGACTGAAACTGCTGGAAGGATTAAAGTCTGAGGTTAGTGACAATAATTCCCATAAACAGGATTAGCTATAGCTATATTGATCCTGAGACCAGTCCCCTCGGGAAGGCCCAGTTAAAGAATGGTCCCTTTCTTGAATATATCCCCCCTGAAAAAGAATTTGAAATGGTCTGTATTCTCTTGCTGGTCTCCCCCTTCCAAATATTTTTCTAAATGTTTGGTATCTATTCAGTAAATATTTATGCAGGACTGACAGTTTATTTGGATACTGTGAGTGGGATGAACAGCAACGTACAAGATTGTCCTCATACTCAAGAGCTTAAACATCTATTGATAGAAGCAGAGCCTACGTAAATAGATCCACTGTATGACATCATAGGCAGCACAGCACCAAACCTGGGATGGAGGAGCTGGGTCATAGGTGCTAAAGACCATTGCTTAATTCTTCTCTTATAAATCCACCCTTCCTCTCCCAGCAAAAAGGAGAGGCTTCTTGTCCACAACAACACATCTCAGTGGTCCATAAACTCCACTGATGTTCCTCTGCCACCATTTGGTTTCAGTTCCTTTAAAAAATATTGTATGCAGGTGTATTCTTGTGATGTTATAATGAAGCACAAAATGTATCACTGTGTAAGTTTGATCACCCTAATGACTTTGAGATTTTCTGTTCTTTTACCTGCTTGGTCATCTTTTATTCATAACAGACTAGTTGCTATGGTGCTAGGTGATCAATCTTGGCAACGGTTTGCTGGTATTAACCAGTGAAGAATGGTTAATAGGAAGCTAATTCTGAAGGACAGATTCATAAAATAGTGCTCTTAACATCTCCTGGCAATCCCACAGTTAAAGAAAAGATGTAGGTTTTTTGGTCTCTAAATCTGCATTTTTAATTTATGCCATAATCAGTCCTCTGACTTATATGCTACTTCATTACATTTGAAAGTACTAAAGCACTAAAATAAAAATTTCCTAATTCACCAGCCTGAATGGGCATCAGTGCCAAACCCAGTTACTGCCTGACATTATCTGGGTAAGCATATTCTAGAGTGGTAAATTCAAGACACAAGACACTAAAGTACTGTAGAACTGCACTATTTTTTAAATGAAATATTTGATAACTATCAAATAAGACACACTACATCTGTGTATGCTATGAAGCAGAATGCCTAAGTATAAAATTGTATTTAGAAATTTTAAATATAGCATACTGTCAATAAATACAAAGTTCTGTTCATGGGAAAAATGGAAACAGACCAAAATGAGAGAAAATGCCTAAGTGAGTTTGCGTTAACATTTCTTACTAAATTTATCTTTTCTCCATCAGAGCAGAAAGAGAATGTTTTTGTGCAAATGTCCTACTAATTCTAATCATTATTTCCTTTCATTAACATGACCAGATTATTCTTCAAGATTTGCCTTTAAAGCTTGTAAATACTCAGTGATCAAAATGCATATTAACAGACTTGAAAAATCTTAGCAATTTGTTAATGTTCCCCAAAATAACCTTTTTTAATGCCAAATAAAAATGCTTTAAAAACCAGATACTGTACATGTGGATCAAATATTTGGATAAAGTATTCTTTCACTACAAAGTGCAAATGTATCAAGCTGGAGGATATCAAGCTGGAGGGTCCAAGAAAGATTTAACTCATTTTGCAGTAAGTTATCTTGGGAGCTCAGAACAGAGCCATTACATCAAATAAGGTAGAAACCTTATACTTCCAGGTGACCAAAATATTTGGTTTAGAACCTCCAAGAACATGAAATAAGGGGTAAGGCTAGGAGTTAAGAAATAAGCAAGAAGTCAGAGTGAGACAGGTATAGTGATGGTTAAGAGCCTATATAGAGAAAGCAGCTAGACCCCTGGGAGCTGGGATCTGCTTCTTGTGTAATATTTCCAGGTTGATTACACACCTCGAGAAACCTGTAGGACAGGGATGCTGTTTTTCAGCTCACAGGGTGAGGAGAGAGTGTGTGTGCTCAGCCACTCCAGCCCTGGGTGGGTACACGCTAAGCCACTTCAGTTGTGTCTGACTCTTTGCAACCTCATGGAGGATAGCCCTCCAGGCTCCTCTGTCCATGGGATTTTCCAGGCAAGAATAGTGGAGTGGGTTGCCATTTCCTTCTCCGCCAGCACTAGGTATGTGATGGCTTTTGTGTCCACTCCAGAGAAGCACTGTAGTCCCAGCTTGCATGAACCAAGCAGAGGCCATCAGAAATCCGAAGCGTGGGGGACCATGGGCTTCATGTGTGTCCTGGACACCAGCCCACATCTGCTAGTATTCTAGAATGCTGAAAGAGGAGAGGAATTTGGCCCCTAAGTTGTATTTTGACTGTATTCTCCTATAAGCAGGTCATGAGTCCCTTACGGGTATGATAGCATGTTTTTTAAGACTTCACTAAGACTGGACATAACACATGCAGAATATCTGGCACAGGGTTTGTCCCTGGGCAGCGTGCAGGTGGCATTACCATCATTACAGCGGCTGGCTCAGCATCAGCTCTGAAAGCACCTCAACCCCCAGCGGAGGTGGTTTAACAAAGCAGGAACTTACACCGAAGCTAGGTGACCCACCACAAATCCTGTCCACACCCTGATTGTGGTACTTACAGGGCAGAGCTCTGAAATTCAAAGTCAAGGTTCGATAACACGGAGACGATTGCCCAGATTATGAATGCAGCCTTCCTCACTGGGTTGAAGACGTGAGTGGTATTGATGTGAGGAAGAGATACGCAGGGAGGTGGATTAGAAAAGAGAGGCGGGGGAGAGATGGCCAGTGATGTAAGGGTGCATGCACCCTGATCAGAACAGCCGCCAGCCGCCAGCCGCCGGCCAGGGACACCAGGAGGCATCCGGTACAGCGGCAGAGGACATTCGGAGGAAATCAGCAAGATCTACGTGGTGACAAAAGGGGAAAACGCCATCCAACCAGCTGCACAGGGGAAGAGAAAGGCAAATGAGCTTGAAAATTGAGTCCTGGTGTGTTCTTTCAGTAATTTTGCCAGTGCAAGGATGCTGGGCTCAGACCACTGCTTGATATCATTCCACCTGTCAGGACCCACTCACCTAGTGTATATAAGACACATAACCAACAGGAAAAACTCTCCACAATATTCTGTGATAACCTCTATGGAAAAGGAGTCAGAAAAAGCATGAATATACGTGTATATAAAATTGAATCACTTTATTGTACACCTGAAACTAACGCAGCATTGTAAACCAACTACAATCCAATAAAACTTATAGAGAAAAAGAGTAGGTCTCATCCCTAATTCCCTTGTTTATAACACGAGGCTAATAATCAGCATCTTTTTTTTTCATTTATTTTTATTAGTTGGAGGCTAATTACTTTACAACATTGCAGTGGTTTTTGTCATACATTGACATGAATTAACCATGGATTTACATGTATTCACCATCCCGGTCCCCCCTCCCACCTCCCAATAATCAGCATCTTATGTTTGGTTGTGGGAATTGAATGTGATTATGCATATAAAGAAGCAGCTGTGGCCACTACACATAGCAGGTCCCCTAATTGTAACTTTAAAACCTGTCGATAAAGTTCAAAAGTGAAACACATTTTGAGTTCTCTATGCCCCACTACACACCAAATCTGTATGGCCTAAAATAATCCAATATTTCTGGACAAACTGTGATTTTATTGATGAGAACAGCTGTAATGAAGAAAATGCTGATCTTCAAACATTAGCCATATTATTGTAAACAGGAAAGTATTGGAATAATCTTTAAGCAAATAAGTCAAGAGGCCAAGATTTAAACTGTAATCCTAAAATTCTAACTTATAAAAATAGTTTCTATCATCAGTATTAAATCTTTTGTAACAACACAGTCCCACTAACTTGACATGGTGATTTCATTTTTCTATTTCTTTGTCATTCTTAAATGACATAGACACTTGTGTTTACACACGGACAGTAAAATGTCCATGTCTTTTTGTGTTTTACTGATATGATTTAACATTGTGTTTTTTAGAATCACCAACAAACAAGACAATGTCAGAAAGTGATTTAACCCGGAACAAAAAATGAACTATTTTAAAATATGAACCCAATAAGAGAGCAAAGAAACACTCCTTTAATTAACATACTACTCAGATTTATAACATGATAGTATTTATTTGTCTTCCTGCCTTTTTTCTTTTTGGTGTACATTTTCCCATTTTCAGGACAACCTAGATGGAGTCAGCACAAATGTAAGGAAGTAAAATCAGATGGAGGATGTTTCAACTCCAGGAAACAAGGCGTGATACTCTGGTAGACAGGCAGGCGGACGTTACCGCTGTGACCTTGCAGCCATAAAACGTTCTGAATGCCATCAATAAATCACTCCCTAATAACCTTCCCAAAGAGTAGAGTGCAGTACATCTGGCTACGTTTAGGGTAAAATCACAGTAAAAGAATGTGCATAATCAGAGCTATGTTGGAAGAAATTTGGCATATACAGCAATAGATGCAGTAATGATTCCAATAGTCAACTGTAGACATTAGCAACACTTTAAACTGTATGTGTATGGACTTACACAAATGCCAATGAAATCCACCAGCAGCTGTGAAGTATATTATTTAAATAAGAAAAAAAAATGAAAACAACGACAAAATAACACACTTGAAAGAACTCTTGTGTAACTGAAAGCAAAGTGTGGTTGTACCTGATAAATTCTCACCTTTCCATGTTACTTTATATATATGAGCCTCAGCTTCTAAGCTTTAATTGCATATGGAAATGATGCCTGTCTCATATTACAATTAAGAATACTAACTGAAAAAATATTTTAGAAAAATGTTTTAAATTCTATACACATATTTAGTATCGTCTTAAATAATTTCTACAACCGTAGGTTATTTATTTATTTTGTTTATTTCATCGTTAATAGAACATCTCATTGTAAGAGATACATAAAACATCTGTGTTTAGTATAGTCTGTACTTCCCGAAATAGTTACATGATAAAGGACTGATAATGAATGAAAGGGGGTTATTTCAGTACTTCTCTCGATACATTTCACTGCAGTACTCAATTGTGTAATAATTTCAGCTCTGTAAGAATTACTCAGAAATAGAAAAAGTGGTGAGCTTCCCTGGTGGCTAAGTGGTAAAGAATTCACTTTCCAGTGCAGGAGATGTGGGTTTGATCCCTGGGTTGGGAAGATCCCCTAGAGAAGGAAATGGCAACCCACTCCAATAGTCTTGCCTGGAAAATTCCATGGACAGAGGAGCCTGGTGAACCACAGTTCATGGGACTGCAAAGAGTTGGATATGACTTAGTGGCTAAACAACAAAATAAGACTTACTGACTCAGAATGTCCCCCATTTGCTTGATCTCAATTTTTGTACCAGGGGTCTATTTTGACTAATTTTTGGTAAAATAAAAGTTAAACAGGTTGAATCCAATGAAATACAGAATTTTTAAAAGGTCATTATTCATTTGTTTTTGCTTTTAATGAACTGAGTTTTCTAATTCTTTTTCATTGAACCAGAAAAGGTAGAACACTTGAAACTCACTGAACAAAAATATCATCAGTGGTAGATCAGTTTAAACTGCATCCAGTTGTGTCATTAGAATAGCGTACCATCGAGGAATAGTGATTCATGGAGAAAACTGCAGAATTGCAGATGCTTGGCTGGGAAAGAGGCTTCTCAAGGTTTGGGTAAATATCAGAAAGACCATGGGTTGGGCAACCTGCACTTGTTTACAAGTAACCTGAGAACTCACCTGTGGAAGAATACTTAGATGAAAAAGGTTGGAAACAAGAAGTCAAGGATAAAGAAAATAAGCTTGACTCATTTTAAATTGTTTTCATGGGACAGAATGAACTAATGGCCTGGCATGGGATTTCTGTTGCTAAACAGCAGTATATCAAAATACAGGGTCTTATAAGCTGAGTGACTTTGGATGAGTTACTTAAGCTCTGACTTTGATTTCCTTACAGGTGAAACAGTGTGAAATGTGGTATCTGTAAAGCATCTGGTAGGATTAAAAAAGAAATTATATATAAAGTACTGAGCAAAGAGACTGACACAAAGTAAGAACTCTGTAAAAACTGCCTATAAAATTAGACCTGAAAATAATACCTAGATCCCTTTAAATATACATGTTAAATATGTATTATTTTTAAATAAAATCTTCCCTGGTAGCTCAGCTGGTAAAGAATCCAGCTGCAATGCAGGAGACTCTGGTTCGATTCCTGGGTTGGGATGATCTTCTGGAGAAGAAAATGGCGATACAGTCAAGCATTCTTGCCTGGAAAATCACATGGACAGAAGAGCCTGGCAGACTACAGTCCACCGGGTAACAAAGAGTCAGACATGACTAAGCAACAACAAAGCATCTCTGAACACAGACATGACAATACGTAGAGCCACATTATTGACTATTGTATTATTGATCATTCTCTAGCTGTTTAAATTATAATAAGAATATTTGTATCTATAATCATAAAGCATTTTTTTTCTTATAACGTCTTTATCTGGTTTGAGTGTCAAGGTAAAACTGAACTCATGGAATTAGTGTGAAATTATTCCTTCTTCATCAGTTTTCTGCAATAGTTCAGGTAACATTTGTGTTGTTTCTTGCTTAAATGCCAGTGATACCACATATGTGTCCAAAAAATTTTAAGAAGAAATTTTAAACTACACTTTTAACATTTAAATAGATGTAGAACTACTCAGTTAATCTGTTTCTTTTGGGGAAAACTTTGGAAGTTTGTTTCTTTCAAGGAATTAGTCTGTTTTACCTAGGCTGTTAAATTTATTACTATAAAGTTGTTCACAATATTTATTATTCTTTTAACATCTATAGAACTTCCTTTTTTTTATTCCTGATATTAAGTCTAAGTTTTATATTTTTTTCTTAGAGGACTAGCTAAAATTTGTTAATACTAATAACTTTGCAGAAAAAACAAATTTTGGTTTCATTGTTTTCATCACTTGCTTTTACTTTTTTATTTCACTGATTTTTACACTTGTTCTTTTTATCCCTGCTTATTTTGGATTTTTAACTTGGAAGTGGAAGCCACTGATTTGAGTTCCTTAGTATGATAAATTTCTAATTAAACACTATTAACACCCATGACAATTTTTGATACATTTCCATTTTTTTCTTCAAAGATGTTTTCTGATTTGTTCATTGATCTGCACGTTATTTAAATATGTGTTTTTGAGTTTCTAGAAATTTGGGAGTTTTCCAAATATCGATCTTTAATTTTCAACTTAATCCTGTTGTACAATAAACAAATAAGTATGTTAATAAATAAAATTCATATGATCTGAAACTTTTTATTTATTGAGAATTGTTTTATGATCCAGAATACAGTGTATCTTTGTTTAAACTTGAAAAGATTATGTTTTCTGGGTTGGGTTTAGGTATTCTATAAATGTCTACCAGGTCAATTTGATTAATGATGCTGTTCAGATCTTAAATATACTTAATGAATGTCTATTTAGTTCTTCTATCAGGTAGTGATACAGGGATGTTGAAATGTCTGACCTTAACTGTGGGCTTGTCTATTTCCTTCTCCTTACTTTTGATGTATGTATTTAGAAACTCTGATAATAAGATGCATAATCTTTTTGTGCCATTATGCCCTCTTGATGTTATCACTTCTTTATCATTCTGAAATTACCATCTTAAATAAGATTGTTGCTCTGAAGTTCACCTTGTCTGGTTAATATGATAACTGAAATTTTATTTCATTCAGATTAATGCGAATGTTTTCTTTTATCCTTTTATTTCAACATATATTTTATGTCAACATTTATATCTTTTATGGGATTCTTGTCAACAGTGTATACTTGAGTCTTATTGTTGTTTTTTAATCCAATCTGATAATCTT